TTAGCAGTTTATAAAAGTTTGGAGTGGCCTGTTGAAAATGTTTTTCTAGCTCATTTCATCTCGTGACTTAGCGGCACCGTCAGCCAATGTTATCGCAGAATATTTGGCCTCGCACCCGAGCTGGTGTACCCCAGTGTTGACGACTTCTCACCGAAACTCTAACTGACATCTTCCTGTATCAAGTCACTACAGAACATCAGATCAGTTTTCAAGTATTGGTTTGTAGGGATTTATTTTGTTTCAAAGTTGACTACTAACTGATATCAGTTAATTAAATAAATCTGACGCTCACTAGTGACTAACTACAGGATAAAGCTGCCTGGGATTTTAACGAGAGGTCATGACCAGTAGGATCCATCAGATAGGGTCTGAGGGCTAATAATAGCCGTTGACATTGGCTGGTGCCAGTCACGTTAATGTCACAAACTAATAGAAGTTGAAATTCATGGGTCATCAAATTGCGTCCCAGTGGATGAATGGCTTGTAACCTTCCCTTGTTCTTGGCTTTGAATCCGAGTGGGTGCATACCATCGATGAATCCCATACTACAACGAAACAATTATTCAGTACTCTTTACTGGTTTTCAGTAGTTCTCTATATAGCATCTATTCGCCGTGATCTATCAAACTTTAAACAAAGGAAATCCTTTACAAGCTAAATCTTGAAAACTAATAAGTTTTCGACTGATTCCCTGCCCACCACAGTTTCTTTTTGCTCAGCCTTACTGGCCAGCCATCTGATTTTCAGTATGCCGCTTAGATAGCTGATTGTTGATAAAATTCTACAGTGACTTGTTGGAAATGTTGTTTGGTGACTTGCTCGATAACTCTGTGAAATATATAATAGTAACATCATCACTCTGGACAGTATTTATGAAATGTGCAGAATTTCCAAAGGAGTTTATTGCATGATATTTTCCCTTCATACAATATCTGCAAGTAAAATATCGATTGACAGTAGTATATCCAGTGACACATTGGTATTTGAGCTGCAGCACAAACCATTCCATTACGATATATCTGCTTTATCTCCTTCAAGAAATCCACGATATCCGGTTGAAAGTCAATTGTAAAATGTTCAGAAGTACACTTTGAGACCCTGGGACATAACTGAAGTGCAGTTATCTCATGTATTGGAACGCGTTGTCACCCACAGTCAGACCACTCCTCAAGTTTATTAGGAACTTGCGAATCAGGGTCTTGCAAACATTTCAAATATACACAGTGGTAGATAATACCAATGGAGGTCATATTTTAATCGATTGAACCAAACCGAATGAGAGAAAATCTATATGGAATAGAGAGATGGAAGTGTTTGATGGCCCAAGTCTTAAAGAGATCGCCAAGAATAGAGTTAACCACTCACTGGCTCGACATTAGTACCACACAGAATTCAGATCTTGTCTGCTGGTTGTGTGAACTATAAATCTCTACACTTATCTCAGAGTCGGTCGGTCGGTTTTCGACATAGAACTTTGCACATATGTGCGGCAGTTCAAGTCGCCACACTCCATGTAGCACACAAAGCAAGAGAAGAAAGTAGAAGAAATGCATAATATAGACAGTAAACAGAGGTGTGAGACAAAGGAATAGTAATAATGGAGAACAAAACAGTTTAATTGGAAATCATAAGTCACAAGGAGTGGATGCATCTGCGCTGGCCATTGAGAACGATTTTGAGCCATGTCACCAATTGTTTCCAACCATTGGTTTTTACCGTCCCGAGGACCCCAACCAGGAAGTCTACATCTCCCTACGTGACTTAGACTAACTGTTGTGGATTTCATTGATTGGTGCCATGTTTTGGTTTGACCGCCGCTAGCTCTTTTCCAGCTTGGCCCTATATCAGCTAACATTGCCCGTCGAGGAAGGCGATGACTAGGCATGCGTACAACATGTCCTAACCATCTCAGTCGATGTAACTTCACAGTTTCGTCGACTGATTTCCCCTCCTTACCTAACACTCGACGCCTAACCTCAATATTGCTCACCTTATCATACCACTTCACGCGGGAGATAGAACGCAGACACCTATGATCGAAGACAGCTAATCTTTCCATGTCTTCCGCTCTCAGTGGCCAGGTCTCACAGCCATAAAGGAGGACGGAGCGGACTGTTGAGCAGTACACACGCCCTTTGGTCGATAGTCGGATATCGCGTCTACGCCAGAGATGGCGTAAACTGGCGAATGCGAACCTAGCCCTCTGTATTCGTGCTGAGATTTCGTCGGAGATCAACCCGTTGGGGCTGATGGTACTTCCCAAGTAAGTGAAGCGGTCAACGTGCTCTACCACTTCACTTCCTATTTCTAATCTAGGGGACGGTGAAGTCCAATCTTGCAGCAGGCTGCCTTGTTTTCCTGATACCATGAAGTTAAAAGTCGGAAATGACTGTCAAAATGTTCAATGGCCTTGTTAAAAATATTTTTATTCGTTTCGAAGACAAGAAACACAGTCTGATGAATACAATTCATAATTAACTTATTATGATTATCTCATCATCATTATTATTAGACTGTCCTACTTAGGACAAAAAAAAACAGAAAATAGATCCAAGTTTGAGATTTCAAATTCATCATCATCATCATCGTCAGTATCCCTAATGACTTGAAGGGCATTCAACTTCTTCTTCTTATCATCATTATTATCATTATTGTAATTAAGCATGTTCAGACATTCACAAATACCAACGCTCTGTGTGTGTGTTAGTCATATTGTTCTACACATTTGTAAGGCATATATAAAAGTTTAAGTTAATAACAATAGAAATTACCTAATTATCTTGTTTAGTGAAGCAAATATCCTGTTCGCTGGCTTTTTTTAAAAAAAACCAAGAAGAATAAAATCGATAAGTACATGAGTCAATTAGTAGATTACTTTGATGATAGCAGAAGTTATTAAATTGTTGAAGTCTAGAAAAACAAACAAACAGGCGAGCTGATAGTTATTAGACATAGATAAATAAGATATACATATATATATCATCTGCGTAATATGGAATCAAGTGACTTTCTTAGGCATTTATAATAAGGAAGCTTGGGTGTTTATTATGCAGATGTTCCTAATTAGCAAAGAAATTTGTTTCTGGCTTTTTTTTTGAAGTGACTTTAAATGGAAAACGCTAAGTAGCAATCAGGTGTTTGGAGTCAACTTTTTCACAGCTACGTCTGAGTAATATAGATTTCAGAGTTTAATCATGAACTGACACGAGTTAGAGGATTATTGGAAGACCTGGTAGGTCCTAGTTTGGGAGTCTTCATCAGTACGAACCCACTCCACCGCTAGCAGACCATTAAACCACTGGGACACGATCCAATAGCCAGTCCATGAATTCCAACTTCTGCCAATTTTATGAGACATTGAGACCACTAGGCAACGTCACCGCTGGTGAGTATTTGTCCTCACAGCCAACCAGGTGGACCCCACCGGTTACGACTCATCGGTGACATTGGCTAGTAGTTGCGCCACATCATGAATCAGAAGAAGGTAGAATTCACCGGTTGGCTATTGGAGTGGGTCGTTGTAACTTAATGGTCAGTGACTCGCATTATAACCGGAAGGTCGTGGGTTCGAATCCTGACGGTGGGTGCGTCCTGTCAAGAGTCCCATTCTGGAATGAAACAGCCCGGGTTTCCAGTACTCCCAGATCTTCCAATCCTGAAACTAGTCAAATCCCTGCAGACCAACACCTTATTAGAGATATTTTGAGTTTTGGTATTTATGAAGAAGTCTCGACCTCAACACAGTTGCGTCGGTAGTAGAATGTTTGTCAACAGCGTGTGATTCGGGTTCGTTTCTCGACTGATGCACTTCTGAAACTCACCTAGTATGAACAAGAAGAAACGCCGGGTGGAAGACTAGTAATCAAACCCCGTACAATTAGCACCAGCGCAAAGGAAACTTTGAGGTTTGAAGCTCTATATTCCATTCGGAACGCAAGGAATCAAAAACACCTCAGTATAAAGGAAAATCATATACTGTCCGAGGACTAAAATTATGTCATTTAGTAGCCAAGTCAAAGAATTTACACTTATCAACTCAGGTCACATGAGAATACCTTTTCGAGACTGACGAGTACTAAAGAGCATAGCACGTAGGTTAGTCAGAAATTCACCCGAATTAAGCCGTAATATGTTGCATAACAACTGAAATAACTTTTTGTTGTGAATGTGTTGTCTTACCTTGGCGTTTGGTTGTCTCCAGAGGTCATTACGAGAGAGAGTAATATCATTCATGGTAAATTCCAAAATACACAATTTACATCGAAGTAAGAGTTGAAGATGTTGTCTAGAGGGATAATAAAAGCTTTACTGATAAAATGTTCAGCTCAGAGACATACAACCACATCAGAAAAACCCATCTGACCCACAAACCTTTGTTACTATTTCACAATCAAAACTTCAACACAACACCTTGCTACTGAAATTTATTATGTGTAGAGCATACTACTGATCAAATCAGGTAGTTAGACTTCAAACAACAACATTAAATATGAGGTTGAAGCAGTTATGATATGAGAATTTAAACAGATAATTCGAGTATTGCTAGTTTGAGAACCACCTCATGCACAAAGTACACCGATTATGTAATTTATCGGAAAGTTATGAATATGCTAATGATATAAAAATAGTTAGTTAGATTTCATTGACCATGATCAATCTAACATCTGAGTTTTGTTTTTATTTTACACTTGCATTCTTGATCGACTGTTATTATCCCCAGTGTGACTGATTCCTAGACGGATCAGACTGTTTGTTTTCTGAAGACTGAAGAAGTAGTGCTATGACACAACGGTAAAATTCCGTCTATATTCTTAATAAACATTTCTATGGATCCCAGTCATCGACAGGATCGTTATAAGTTAATATGGCACTTTGTTCTTACTATTGTATTCAGCATATGCAAAGTCAATTTTTCAATGATTTTCTCCTCTTTCTTCTTCTTCTTCTTCATTTGTTTTAATCATATTCATAGGATGAAGTCAATCAAGTGCTTACTTTGAATGTGTGGATCGAACAAGTAAGTGAAATTTACTTTTTCTCGCTTTCTCAATTTCCGAAAGGTTCATAAGGCTTCAAGTTTTGAAGTTCCAGTAGAGATGATGATATTAAAAGATTCAAGCTGAATGGTAGGAAGCTTATGACCTAGGTTTAGCGTTTGTTGACAGTCACCAGTCTGTAAGGTATTTCTCCAGTCTTCAAGAGTTTCACCTCCCTGATGAGATTTAAATTCCTGTCACCTAGTGATGCAGTCAGAGAAATTACCACTGAGCTATTTACGCTTACGATTGACCTCCTGTGGGAGTGTATTGTATACTTTGTTTTTGCACTAGGGAGTTACTAGTGTCGTGTGTCTAGTCCTTGGTGTTGGTACAAACTGGATCCTATCAGTCAGCGAACTGCCCCCAACCATCTAATAACAAAAATTTGGGATACGCGATGATGGCGACCACCCAGCTTGTCGGAGGCAATACTGATAACTTGACTGATAGAATTCAATCGGCACTGACAGAAAGGACTAGATGCATTACGCCGCTTAGTATCCAGGGTCCAATCAAAGCAGTGATGCTGTTTCTACTTACGAGATAGGCTGACTAGCCTGATTCGCGCAACTTTATGTCTTTTACGGGCTCACTACAGGCATAGGAGCGTGTTGCCTGGAAATTGAACCCGTACCATATTCATGACAGGTTAGCGTTTCACAATTGTGCAGTAGACAGAGTGAAGTTTTCATTAATCCCTGAATATGACCGACATTCTAATAGGAAGGGTTTTATGCTGGAACAGGCCGTGATTTATTAGCATACCTTGTCTCTCTCTTACTTACCATTTTAACGAGTAACAGTCTTCTTACTTTCAACATATATAAGGTGGCTAAACCACAACTTCATTGAGTTTCGTCCATACTCAACCAGAAATTGCAGGTGAACAGCTTTTACTACTCATGAGTAGCAAACAATTTTACGCAAAATGTATTAAAATTCGTTTGTCATCCAGTTAACGGTAGGCAACAGGTTGTTGTTGGTACCTTCTGAGTTGTAATAACTTAAGGTGACAATAAAATTACGTTGTGATTTGATGCTGCAGCCCCGCATACTTTGATTGAGCAAGGTCTGGTGCAAGAAATCATGACAGAACTATTCAAAAGTGATGAACACCTCTACGAACACGAAGTTCGAGTTGGTCGGAACTAATGGACAACATACTTTCATTTCGCTAATTGATTATACGAACAGTAATATGGAGATTAAGTGTATTATGTTAGGTGTAGGTTATCTGATAAGAAAATGGAGCCAGTGGGTGAGGTTGTAAGCCTACATAGTTTGAGGTAGTTAGGATACGTGAAACGCATTCCCAGCCACCAACTTTCTCGACAAGCAATGATGGCTGATATAGAATTAGGTTATAATGAGGTAAGGGGCAACTAGATGAAAATCTGACATCACTCTGTGAAGTCTGTGATAGCTGGTGTGAGCCATGCAATGAGGATTTCTTTTATGTACTCGGGGTGCAATCAACAATGTCCTCAAGGACATCAAGTTTACAAGGGAACGAGAATCAGAGAAAGGAATCTCATTTTCGGAAGTCTTAGTTGCTCGAGAAATAGCTGAAAAATTGGAAATACAGGTATGTACAAAATCAACCCATACAGACAAAATAGTCAGTTATAACAGCTAACATTCAGTATGTGGTGGTGTGATACAGACAATTTGTGCCAACGAAATATTATTCCTACATATTCCCACAGTTCAGTTCGTTAAAATCAAAAGAATACAATATATCTATTTGAACATTATGTTTGATGTTAGAGACAGAATACATTTCCCACGGTTATATTCTGCATTAACATGCAATATGCAACATGTATATTTGAATATTCTACTTCATGTCATTTAGTATAAGTCGAAATCATCCTCTCAGTGACTGGCTAACGAATATAAACCGTAGATATATAAACAGGGGTTTTATCAATGGAAAATATACTTTGGCTTCCGTGTCTTTCCTTCTGTTGCTTCAAATGGTACGCAAAAGAAGGTGTATGCAGACATTATTCAAAACATCCGTAACATACTGCAGTATTCTTATTTTGAGAAGAACAATGGAGATACATCTTACGAGCGTGCTTCGGAAAAATGAAGATTTAAGAACTTCATGAGGAGTTGTCTGCCATCATTTCAAAAAAACAACAGAAGTAATCTTCTGAAGAAACTGAAAAACATCACCATACCTTACGTGAGGCAAGCACTGTCGCTCATAAACTAACATGTTGGCTCCACTTCACATTATGTGGACAAAAACTGAACAGCGAAAGAAGACGAAACTATCATTATTTGAAAAAATTGAATACATGAAATGTAGGTGTCCTCTAAATCTTCACCCCTATGAACACAAACTGGCAATCAAATTTCTAATCGATTCCAATCATGTATATAAATGAAGTAAAAAGTTGTGTGAGTGACTTGATATGATTATGAGCAATAGTTTGTCCTCGAAACATCATCATTTAATATTGCTGTAAAACACTGTGATTTATCAAAATAAAATCTTATCTATAATGGAGTCAAACTAGCAATCATCAGATGGTGTGAAATAGATCTGTTCATATTAATCCAAGTGGACAACCATGGGCATTTATTCAACTATGAAAATATAAAACATTTAGGTTGAGTAAATACAAAGGATACTCAAAGAAAACTCCTAGAGGCGTCATACTCAAATCAATTTGTAGCTGATGGAATACATCAAAATACATCTCATTAAACCCAAAATAAACCCTGCCGAATATCATCTTGAATAAATATATATTATAACTATAATTACTGTACAATAAACAGAGTGACATGGAAATTCGAAAAAGGCGCCATACCTAATGGCGGTTTTCGCAGCCGTTGAACACTGAACTTGACACCGAGTACTAAATAACACTCATTTAACCCCCATGCTACAGAAATATAAAGTTTTTATACAAATGTGACTTTATTTTAAATAAAGAAAACAGGTTTTAATCAATTTCTGTTTTATTTTTTGGATTAGTTTAACTCATTATACAAATTTGTTTATAATGAACATTGATCTATGACAGCGCGAAATTTATTTTTAATTAATGCCTAACGAAAACCGTATAGCATTGATGAGGACAAACTACTAAGGGTTATTATTAATTGACTGTAGATTCTGCGCCATTTATCGCTTCTCTACTTCATAATTACCTTTAACCTTTGCTTTATATTTCAATAGAATTTGTGACAATAAAAATAAGTTTATTTGGATTACTCAGCTCGGAAGTGTGAAAAAATTTGTAAAAATATACTACAGGTGGTTTGTCTTCAGAGATTTCGTTACATTGACTAGCCAAAATGACAGTGGACAGTGAATAGAAAGCGAGTTTTAACTTTCTGTAACTTACAGAAATATTGTGCAAGCAACATTTGATAAAAACTACGTGTTATTTGGAAATAGGGAAGCACTAGATAGCGATGACACAGTGCCGAAGTCTATTGGTGCTGAAAAACACCAGGTTTGTCTGGTAATCTAACAGTTATGAGTTTCATCCTGAGAAAGGTTTCGGGTGTGCACAACTAAAGAGTTCCGAAATAGAACTGAATGGTTACCCAGTGATGTGTATCTTTCAACGATTCTGTTTTTCTGTTGACTGGTTATGAAACGATGGGCAGCTGGTTGTAAATGGCCCAAGATTTATAATTCATTCAAAGGTTATCCCAATCGTATACCTCAGAAGCCAATAGCTTAAATTGTGAATTATGGTTCTAGACACTCTACATTGGCCTCATCTGTGTCTTTTGATTGCTCTCCGCTTCGTTAGTGTATCTAAAGTATCTAATAACTGGTTGCCAAAATTTGCATACACCTACGGGAAAAGTGTATATTTTGAATAATCCGTTCGTTAGGCCTAAATTATAACTCTAAATAGCTTGTTTTGAACCTATTTCTTGATAGGTTTCACTTAATATACTTACTAGTGTGATACCGAAACGTCCATCATTCACATCATTTACAGAAATGTATTCACATCTTATTGATTTCCCTGGATTTATGCATTTTGTTTTCACCTTGTGCAGGAATGGATTGATGAGAGACTTACATGGGATCCATTGGAATATAATAACCTGTCAAGAATACGAATCCCGTGTCAGAAGTTATGGTTACCAGATATTGTGCTGTACAATAGGTAAGTTTTCGCGATACATATATATATATGTATATGTCTGTGTTGTGTTTTCAGGGTGTCATCCCACTCAGAGTTTGACGCCTATTGGTTGACACTCATCTCTAAGTGAATTTTCATTGGTTGTCATTTTGGAGCTACTTAGTTGGTTAGTTCATCAGTCATCAACAAACGTACTCAACAATCATGCAAAGATCTTTTTAGTCGAAACTCTTCTGGATTATCTGTATGAATCAACTAATCACTTGTTGATAAGCTCAATTAAGAAAGCCTCAGCCTAGAAGACTTGTCTTATGGCTACAGAGTGATAGATAATTCAGGCCTAAACAAAAACGCAGAGTTGGAAAATGACATTCGACCGTGATTATCGATCTGATGTTTAACTGACTAGATGTGTAATTATTGAATAAGGCGATTGGTTATCCATTCAGATAAAGCCAGAAAAAGACAAATTAACAAGTTCAAATACATAGAAGCTAACTGACTGATTAAGTCTAAACTGCACAGAAGTGCAGTAATTCAAGTAGCCACACTCCTTCACGTAGCACACAAGCGCAAATAAAAGTGAGAAAGAGACTGAAGAAAATCATAATAAACAGAAGCATCGTTGGCTTAGTGGTAGCATACTGGCCAACCATGCTGGTGGTTCTAGGTTCGGTCCCCGGACGACGCATTCCCTTAACTCACTTATCCGGTAATAAGCCCGTTAAGGAGGGAGGCTTCACAGTGAGGCTAGTAACCCCATCCTGTAAAAAGCACCACTGCTACTGAAACTTCGAAGCCGTAACTTGAAGCCATTATATTCCACTGGGAACGAAAATGAATAAAAAATAATAGTAAACAAGAAATGTGAGGGAGGAAGAATAGCAACGTGAAGAAACACGAAAGTTCCGTGGGTACAGCTGATCGTAAAGAGTGAATGCATCCGCGCCAATGACAACGATTTTGAGCCAAATCACCAACAGTCTCCAGTCTTTATTTCTTAGAATTCCAATAAAGCAGTCTATATGTGCCTCTACGCGGCTCAAACCAACAAAATCAAAGGCTTCATGAACCTTTGCTAAGTTCTAGTATGATCACCTCAAATTCTTTTCTAACCTAATCCAATATCGCCTAACATTGTATGACTAGAATGGCAGTGGCTTGGCATATGGAGCATGTATTCTAGTCATCTCAGTCGACGTGGTCCCATATCTCCATCGGTTGATTTACAATTCCCACCAAACATTCTTCATCTAACTTTAGTATTGCCCACCATAGTATACTACATAACACGGGATATGGAAAGCAAATATTTGTAATCAAATTTATTTAGTCTTCTCGTATCCTGAACTGTCAATGGATATATCTCACAGCCATAAAGGAGAACATAGAAGAATGCTGGGCAGTTTACATGTCATTTAATGGATGGCTGTATATGACGTGTGAGCCAAAAATTCATGAATAATACCTATCTAGGCATTAATGAAAAATAAAACACGTCGTTCAGCGAAGAATCTCTTTTCGGCGAATTCGTTCACATAACTGTACAATCGCAATTATTTATAATTACTTTTGTATCTGTGTGTACATAAAAATTAGTTAGGGTTAATGTTTATTTCATCAAAATATTTCAAAAATGTGATGATCAACCAAATTATAACTAGAGCAATGGGGTGAAGATTAGTAAGAGGGTAGTAGTGATGAGCTGTCACAAATATAGTTCTGAAATGCATAAAGAAATCTCATGATATTAGATGATTGAAGGCAATCGGCAGGAAGCCTTCCTTGACCTAGCTTCGTGCTAGTTGGCACTCACCAGTCAGTAAGGCGTATCTGCAACCTTGAAGGAATTCATGCCCATTCTGAGATTCGAACCCGTTTCACCCAGTGAGAACTGCAGTCAGAGACGTTACCATTGAGCTGTTCGGGCTCACGTCTGGCCTCCTGTAGAACTGCGATGGATACTTTGATTGGACAGTAGTAAATAGTGGAAACCTGACTGATAGAATTCAAACTGCACCGACGTAAGGACTGAACACATCGCACTAGTTACTAGTGTCCAATCAAAATATCCACTACACTCCTACAGGAGGTCAATCGCGAGCCCGAATAGCCCAGTGCTAACACTGGGTGAAGCGGGTTCGAATCTCAGAAGGGACATGAGTTTCTTCAAGGTGGTTGCAGATACACCTTACTGATGAGTTCTGACTAGCACGAGACTTAGGTCAGACAAGACCTCCTGCCAATTGCCTCCAACTATCTAATATCATCAAATCAACGTGCATCGTGATGGCGAGCTACCTAGAATGGTGGCCATATTGCAAACCTGACTGATAGAATTCAGTCTGCAATGAAGTGGACGACTTCCGTGACATACAGTGTATTGCTTTCTTCCTGAGAAATAAGAATGCAGCCATTTGACAACCCAGTACTCAGTTTGAGTTTCAGCAAGTTTATTTAACAAAATATCCCTAGGTACTGAGTCGAAAGCAGATGTGTAATCTTGGAAGGTGCAGCGAACACGTTTAGCCCCTTTGTCCAAGCTTGAGCTGATGTAATGATGCAAAACTGCAGCTGTATCTAAAGTACTTCTACTATGTCTGTAGGCGAATTGTTTGGAATCGTTGAAGGCTTTAAGTGAAGGCCCAAGGTTATATCAATAGGTCTAAATGTGACACATGTTCCAGTAGATGACTTAGGTATGGGTACAATTTAATGTCTTTGCAAACTGCTGGCACAACATTTTTGGAAAAAGATTCACTAAATGTGTCAGCGAGAGGATAAGATAGGAAATCTGCACTTGTTTTAAGAACAACGCTATGTACAACATCTGAACCTAGGCTACGAGAAGGGTTGATATGAGCATTTTATAGGTAAACCACCAACACGGATATTATTCGTTATAAATCCTCATCTTATCGCTTACCCTTGAGGTACACCACACGTTCTCTGGCTTATACAAACTCCTTTGCGTTTTTTTTATTTCAGTGCAGATGATTATAAAACAGATTATATGCAAAGTAAGGCAATGGTACAATCAAACGGTAATGTATTCTGGCCACCACCAGCAAAATTACGATCAACGTGTAAAATTGATATCACCTATTTTCCGTTTGATGATCAATCCTGTATGATGAAATTCGGCTCATGGACATACGATGGTTGGCAGGTCAATGTAATAAAACGGTAAGTAGGCCTTTTATCAAGTATTGGTTTGAGGGATATTTTGGTTTGTTGCAGGTTTAATCATGGCCTGACATCAGTTAAAGAACCACTGGAAAACGAGAGAATACTGAATAGTTGATTCGTCCCAGTTTGACAGTCTTCAGCAGCACTAACCCATTGAGGTTGGAATCCAGCACCTTCCGGTTACAAGGCGGACTTGTAGACCATTCAGCCACTGGGACCTGATTGAATGGACAGCTTATGAATTCCAGCTTCTGACCATTCAGGATATACGTAATGCAACTGCCAGCTAATGACGTACGGGAGTAACTGCTCTCTCACCTGACTTGATATTTCTGTATTACATGGTTGGAGGCAATCGGCGGGAATCATTCCACCTGGGTTTCGTGCTAGTTGGCGCTCACTCACCAATCAGCAAGGTGTATCTGCAGCCTTGAAGGAACTCATGTTCCTTCTGAGATTCGAACCCGCTTCCCCCAGTGCTGCTTGCAGTCAGAGACGTTACCACTGAGCTATTTAGGCTAGAGACTGACCTCCTGTAGGACTGTGTTGGGCATTTTTGATTGGACACTCATCAGTAACTAGTGTAATATGTATGTCTAGTCCTATCTTTGGTGCAGACTGAATTTTATCAATCAACTATTTAAATTTATCAAAAGAGTATTCATGTATATGATTTTTAGTGAGCACTTGAGTTAATCTGTCAATAAAGTTTAAACAAATACTTAGATTCAACATATTTTCATTATAAAATCATAAACTGCAGTGTAGGTTTCAACTGGCTTAAAAATAATTGCTCTTAACTATTCAGTGGCGAACGTGTGTACAGCTAATCATCTACCAGTCACATTATATTCCTAAATCCCTGGAATCTTGATGACATCTAAATTTACACAGAACAATTTTACAGCCAAACAGTTGCAACTGTAAATATCCTACAAGTGATTTGAACTTGACAGTTTACTATTCTGTGTGTATTTCTCAACGGTGTCTGTAGCTCAATGGTAGAATGTACGAGTTTGTTCCCTTACCAATGCACTTCTCTTACTCTTGCCCAGTTTACTTACCAATAGTACTCCTGGAAAAAGAGAGAAAGTTGGGCCAGAGGCTAGTAACTCCACTCTAGAAAAAAAGGTGCCACCTCTACTGAAGCTACAAAGCTTAAGCCCTTTCTCTCGCTGTTTATCCCACTTGAAATAGTCCACTAAGTACAAATATCTTCGTTCCACATCCATAAAAGAACGTGGTCTCATAAGAGGTTATATACTTTTAATAAGCTATCTATTGTCTGCTCCAAATACAACAGAGGAAAGCAGAAATTCCTAGCGCTTTACACAATAATCAATCAGCCGTCGTATGAAAGTTAACAATTAACCAATTTCGGTCACAGAACCATTGGAAAACCCGGGAGTACTAGACAGCTGTTTCATCCTATTTTGGGACTCTTCACAGTAGGCACCTGCCAGGCTTCAAACCAAAGGCCTTCTGGTTACAATACGCCACTGGGATCCAATGGTTCCCCTACCAACGTCAGCTCTTGATGAAATACTCCAAACAATCAGACAAAATCCCTGCAGACCAATACTTGAAAATAACCAACAACAAGTATGAAATCAAGTGGAATACTCGATTTCTTAACAGTAGGAAAACCCTTCATCAATATATTGATAAGACTTTATGAATAATCGTTGAATATATATTTTTATATATTCCTTTTATATACTTAAAAGTGAGGAGATAACCAAAAGCAAAACAGATCTTCATTGTTATGAAATCATTATGAAAATCCACTGTTCCCAGCATAAATAGCAAGATCCGGATCTCCGAAACTAGCGTCAAGTCAGTGCTTCCTATGGCACCACCAAAAGCATTTCCAACAGACCAACGCAAACCTCTACCAACAGCTGCCTCCTTAGCTACTTTCAGGAGATCACATGACCATTACGTCATGATAAGTAACATGTAACTTTATCAAGCGAAGATCCACCGACGAGAAAACTACTGCCCAACAATTTTGGGAAAGAAAATGGAGGTGGATTGGATGTACACTGAGAAGGCAATTGAGTGACATTGAGAATCAGGCCCTCAGGTGGAATCTGAACGGTAAATGGTGAGTCGGATGTCCAATGGTGATATGCAGGAGAGCGGGTAAGGAAGAAATGAGGGCTTATGGCTAGTCACGAAGCCACCTTAAGAGGACGGCAGAGAACAGGCCGAGATGAAGACGTGCTACTGAGGCCCTGTGTGTGGCCGAGCTGGCTGAAATCAGTGGTCTATTTAATTTCCCATATATTTGTATATCAAAATGAATCTTATTTTCTCTTTTTCTTATTGTTTTTATTATCCAACTACATTTCTAATTAGCAAAATGTACTCAATACCACTTATAATTTCTTTTCAACCCAGTACTACAGAATTTTCCCAGGAAACTGTGAAAAAATATTGCAGGTTACTAAAGCGTGATTCGAATAACACAGTTTTATAAATATATATTACTGATTATCAATTTACTTGAATATTCTGCATAAGGAATCAGTACTTTGCAATGTAACATACTCAGAGTTTGATACACTGTAAGGACTCATTCCTTTTTTAGAATAAAGCTATTATTATTGTTATTTATTCTATATATGTTACTAGAGACTTTTAGTCCTGTGAGAACAACTACTAAGAATCAACAGCGTAAACGAAACAGACACTTAGGATTAATATTGTATAAAGCCAGGTTGTCAGGGATATAGTCTGTATGGAAGTATCACTAAGAAACCTTCTTGGCACACAGCTGATTAGTTTATTTACCAGCTTATAGTCATCCTTTTCTAGGAACAAGGAATAAATGGCTTTTTTTATATCTATAATACTCCTTCGATGAGAATATCTACAAATAAGTTAACGGAAATCAATATTTTCAGGTCTTCTACTGGGATGATAAGTTGTAAGCAGCACCCGTCAGAGACTCGTTGAATACTGCTTGAACCATGCTTCATACCTAACAATTTTGCCATTACTTCCCAGCCAAATAAGTCCAATTTAGCTGAGACACCATAATATACGGCTTCACTTCTCCTGATAAGTGTCAAAAAGTGTCTGCATTGGCCCTCAGGATATTCGCGGCTTTGTGGGTATTCAAACCTTTAAAAAAGTATGTTTTAAATTTCAATTTTCTTTTTGAAAAATCCCATTACGCACTAATTATTGTTATCCCTTTAATACATTTCAGACATGATGAGGTAGATACATCAAATTATGTTGAAAATGGTGAATGGGATCTACTCAAAGTTGTAGTAGAAAGAAATGAGGTGAGTTCAGGTTTTGAAATCCCATATCAAGTGTTACTTTGCAGGGATTGAATCGGTTGCATTTTTAATCGTGAGCTGAGAGAACCATATGAAAACCAGAGAGCATTGGATGCCTGTTTCTTACTTATTTTGAGTCTTTCCATTTGTACACAATCGGAGAGACTCAAACACAAGGTGCCAAGGTTAAAAGGCCAGCTTGCTGACGATTCGACCGTTGGGGTCTGATCCAGTGGCCCATGAATTCCAAACTTATACAACTCGATACATTGTCCTTAAGATTTAAGTAGGAACTCCATTCTCAATGTGATTATCTTTTGAATGGTAATGAAATAGATTACTGAAGGAAGGCAGTAGTTAAAAATGAATTACCATTCATCTACTGCCAAGTTTTGGAAAAGAGTGTATTTTTAACTAACATAGATTGAAGAATCATGGATCTATCTTACTGTATACCCGTATATCTACAACAGTTTTTAAACATTTGAATAAATAATAATAATAATTTGCTTTATTCCAGAAACAGTACTAGTGATACAGTGTGGAATTTTCCGCACATATCTACAATATTTGCATCTAATTTTACCGACATTTAAATTAAGTATTAAACAAACAAAAAAATAAATCGGAAGACACCAACAGCAAAAAAACAACAGGATAAACACAAAATAATTATAAATGCGAAAAAGTAACAAAGTCATCCAAAGTCTAATGCAGTGTTTGTAGTGGTAGTGTGAGTAATCCTGCATAATACAAAATTTTTTAAGGTGGTGACTATGGCGTTCACAACCAACGATTGTCAGTTTGATATTGCCGAAAAGTATAGAAAAATAAGAAAAAACAAAACTAATATTACATGATGGTTAATGACAGGACAATTTTGTAATACTCATAATGCTAATAGAGTCGGAACCAGTGGATACACAATAGAAGGAATTTAGTAAAGTACAAAAGAAGTAAGCCAATGTTAATAATTTAGGTAGCTAAGTATGTTTAAGAAGGAGTTCACTAAAGAACACAAAATAAGAGAGAAATAAAAGAGCCTAAAATTATGTTGTTAATAACAGAGCAAGTCATAAGTTTCACGCTTAACATTGTCTCTGTCACTTAGAACACGGGCCAAGTATGGTATCGTTGAGTTCCTGTACTTGGTTGTACGAGCATAGATTATTTTATATGATGAATAGACAGAAATCTCAAATCTAAGACTAAGACTTCAGAACAAGTCCAATCTGTTCCAAAGAAAACACTTCTGCTTAATCTAGAATCCAAAGGTGATATTGAAGCAGAAATCCTCCGCAAACGCCTCTCCAAATCGCTGAGGAAAACATACTTCGCCGCAAGCCTACGACTGACGTTTTCCTGCAAGAAACTGTTCAACCAGAACCTGAAAGACAGGCTGTCGCATTGGGCCACCTCAACGTGCATATACCAGTTTACTTACTCTTGTGGAGCTGAGTACATCGGCCGTACCATGCGCCAACTTGGAAAACGCGTTCGTGAACAGTACCCAGCCTGGCTAGTAAAAGGAGAGCAAAAACGTGTATACAGTTCAGTGGCAGAACATCTGGTCAACTCAGGACATTCAGTGCCTTTCGAAAAATCCTTCAAAGTAATATGCAAAATTCAATCAAACCTATCAAAGGGAATCAAATCAAGACATCTGGGCATAGCTGAGGCGCTAGCTATCCAAAAGCTCAAACCCACTCTTTGTATCCAAAAGAATTACGTACAACCCCTCTCCCTACCATGGCCATCATAAACAGGTAAAATTTTTTAGTAATGACAATCTCATCGCCTTTCTTATCTAAACTTCCTGTTTATTCATGTTATTTTAAGTTTTCTTAATCCCTGTCTACACTACCATATTTTCATACCCACACTTCCTGTTTATTTTGTCATTTTACTATTTCTACATATTTAATCCCTGATTGCATAAACAATTATTCATCATATTAGTTTTTTATCCAAACATCCTGTATATTTTGTTATTTCTACATTTCTAACTCCCAATTGCACAATGTCAATCTTCTTAGTTATTATGCTACTTTGTTTGAGTTTTACCCATCCCCCCTGTTTGTTATGTCATTTTAATTCCTAATTGTAATTTTTTATTAATTTGACCCCTAACCAGAAATTATTCTGGAACTTTCCTATCCATTTGATATAAATACACGAATGTACAGCCTAGATGATGACTTCGTCGAAAAGAAAATTTTCTTCGCTGCAATTGTCTTTTTATTAGCCTCAAAAGCGTAAATAAATTAGCTGGTATCTTGTATATAATGTTGAAAGCAGAAACTATGTCCCGCCTCTGCTAGTTAGATGAATGTTAAAAGAAACAGAATATAGCAACAGTGTAGAAACAGGAGACTCAGGCAATAATTTATTTATATTCTGTCAGCAGACTAATCATATCAACTTAATCATGGACTCCATTTGAACATGTTCAATAAATAACATAGGAGAATACATAAAATTTATTGAAGTGATGTAAATATGTTAGTCTGAGAGATTAAAAACTACCGCTAGATTGTAGATACACCTGCCGCATGATTAGGTCTGTATGGCGGACATAAAATACAGCATGCAACAAGCCAACAGGCATAGTAATTACTCACATCGTATCGAAGTCCACTTATTTAAAACAAAGTGGTCATTCTCATACACAAACTGACGAATACTACTAGAATAAGAACAGAAAATCTATCGTATACTTCTTGTTCAAGATAGACTGCTTCACGAACTGGAAGTAGTCAGTGTATACTGAACAAAGACTCTAAAAGTATCCACCTACGACTTCATCGGTGACTGGACTCAGGAACTTGAGGTAACCATTCAGTAACTGGACTCGGATCTTACGGTCCATAAATTCTAACTTCCGTTAGCTCAAGATTATCTGTCCCAGGGAAATTATCTTTCCTGGCATCCAACTTGACAGATTCTACTAGTCACAACTTCTTACTAGGACTCCTGGCAACTTCATTCAGAAGTCCGTCACGTCACTGCTACACATTAGATTCATTTTCAAGCTTTGGTTGTTGTTTGAATTTTTGTCTCCATCAAAATCGCCTAACTGTAAGTATTTATTAGATCTGCATATAGGGATTCGTATTCATATTTGTTGTTATATGATTGGAGGCAATTGGTAGAAGACCTCCGACAGTTCTACAAATGGTCATTAGCGAGCTCGAATAGCTCAGTAGTAGTTTCTCCAACTGCAGCACTGAGTGACAAGACTTCGAATACAAAAAACGGCCTGAATTCCTTAAACCTGATGTAGAGATATCCACAAACACGAAACCTAGTTCCAAGTCTTCCTGACAATCACTGCCAACCATCTAACAACAATTCGGAGTGCATCATCATGGTGACTCACCTAGCGTATTGACCATATTGCAATCGTGAATGACAGAAATCAATCTACACCAAGCAAAGGACTAGATGCATGGCATTAGTTGCCACCTGGTGTCCAATCAATGTATTCATATTTATCATAAAAATATAGTATTTTCAATTTTCAAAATATAAATTTAATCTGAATTTAACCATAATTATCATTTATCTTCTGATTTAAAATTCCCTATTTTTTAGATCTTTTATCCATGCTGTCAAGAACCATATCCTGATCTCCGATTTACAATTTATATGCGTCGTAGAACCCTATACTACTTATTCAATATAATCTTTCCATGTTTATGGTTAACTGTATTAAGTCTAATCAGTTTTTGGTTACCACCTGATTCTGGAGAGAAAATCACCTTGGGTATAACTGTTCTACTGGCATTTAGTGTATTCATGTTATTAATTGCAGAGAATATGCCAGCTACTAGTGAATTTGTCCCATTAATCGGTAAGTTAATTTGTTGATTAACCTCACCGATTACTTATTTTTGACTGGATTGATTTTATATTAAACGATTGACAGGTATGTTTAGCAAATCATTAAGTTCTGTAGTGAGAAACCGTGACCAGTAGGATACAGCAGGTTGAAGATGAGGCAGTAACTCATCGAAGAAGACATTGCGAAATGGTCGTGCTATGTCGTGAATTCATGGGCCCTTGGATCGCGTGCCAGTAGCCTCATGGTCTACGAGATTGCTAGCCTTGTAACCAGAAGGTCCTGGGTTCGAACCCCGGTGAGTGTGCACTGCTGAAGAGTCCCAAACCAGGACGGAGGAAACAGCTGTCCAGTACTGCCAGGTTTTCCAGTGGTTCTCTAAATGATATCAGCTCATGACGAAATCCTCTATCCAATCAAACAAAGCCCCTACGAAACCAATACTTGAAGACAAATTATTTCTTTGCTGAATATTCCAGTGCTTTGATTGTGGATAAATTTGCGATGTAGCGCATCACCATTGCGGAGAGAGCAGAATGGCAGACAAATCTCTACCTTGATTTCATTAACTTTGAAAAAGCCTTCGACAGCATTGATTGCGAAGTAATTTGAAAACCGCTTCAACACCACGAAATGCCTCAATCCTTTGTCAGCCTCACTGGAGAATTATATGACGATTTCATGTGTCAAGTGATTCATAGTGAAAAACTTAGTGAAGCCTTTGAGATGAAGACAAGAGTAAGACAAGACCGCTTACTATCACGGAGGATACTCTTGACTGAGGTAAACTCAATCTTTCAACAGACCGTGAGAAGCGAGAAGAGGAGCATACACTGGGCAGACGAGGAGACGGTGGAAGAACTAGACTTCACAAATGATTAAAGTCTTATGTCACACAAACCAGTAGATTTACAGGCGATAACTAGCAAAATGTCAGAAGAGGCAGGCAATGAAGACAAGACGTCAGGTGAACATAGAGGAAACAGAGGTGATGAGGACACCTGACCACCAACAAAAAGCATCAGTCAGTATCAACAGGCAAAATCTGAGTGAAATTATATCTCCATTCATCTAGGCAGCATCACTTCCCTTTCGGATGGCACTGATGAGGATATCAAAGCCAGGAAGGATTGGGAAAGCAATACAGCCCCTCATCACTCAGAAATCAATGTGGATATCTGTCACACTAAGCACGACGAATAAGACTCGAAACTTCAGCATTAATGTCAAACCAGTGCTTCAACATAATTCAAAAGCAACTGCAGATCGAATGGCCGCTAAGAAAGGATCAGCAATATGGAGCCTTTCCAAGGAACCAAAGATGAAACTCTCGTTCAACAAATATGCTGAAGGAAATGGACGTGGTTTGGACACATGCTGAGTAGACCGCAAAGTGAAATCACACACCAGAGAGGTCCTCAAGGGGAATCCGAATAGGAAATGTCGAGATGTGCGTAGGTTCATGGGTGGTGACATAGAGAAGATCATTTGAAGACGAGGTGAAAACTTACGATCGATGGTGAAGACACCTAAAGATTACTCCAGAGAGTAGAATGAAACAAAGATGTGCTGTTGAAGCCCTGTGTTTCACTAGGAACCTAAAGGGAAAATAACAGAATAATTAAGCTTCATTTTAACCATCATTATTTTGATAATACAGACTTTCATTTTGAATTATTTGTATTTGATAACTGTATAGAAGAATTACTTTTGCACGGACTTGGGAACCCTTTTCAGTGTATCTTTCTGTTGAGTGCATCAAGCTCCTTAGCATATGTCACTCCCAACTGGAAATTCATATGACTCAATATCTTAATTTCTCGTCAACCTAAGTGATAATCATAAGTGCCAGTTATCCGGAAGAATCATGTAATGACATCAAACAAATCATTTGGTTTTGTTAGTGTAGTTAGGATGCTTTCTAGTGATAATTCTAAATTATGTCGACTCAACTGAATGGACGTAATAGTGACATTGATCAACCAGTCAGATGAGCCCACAGCAAACACGTGGAATTATGGATGCAATACATGAATTACGTTGCAGCTTTCAGTCAAATTTATTATTTCTTTACTGTTAGAATACGAGGCTCGTAGGAAGGAATAAAACATGTAGATGTGGAGGAGTAATGCATCGACAGAGATATTCAGCCGCTATTGATTGGTATATGTACAGATGTTCAGACTGTCGTGGCAGAAAACCTATTCGAGGAGGAATGTCGTTTCCTTCTGAAGTTCATGGATGTTGTGGGTAGTTTCGTTGCCAAGTCGATGTTGCCTTTATTGAAAATTCTGATCATGTACCACGAATCGGTCTTTAAAAGACCATCAACGGCGTTCGAATCAGAGAGTTCACAGGTGTCTGCAGTACATCAGAATCAGAACTGCAGAGATATAACTGAGTGGAAAACGAACAACATGACTCAGGTACATGCAAGCATTGGTGTCACTGTTCATGTGGAAGAAATATGACTTATAAAAAGCAAGTATAATTTGTGGAGACTGAATGCCAATCAGGAATGAGTTTTGGAATTGTATGACATGATACTGCAGAGAGGATACGTGCAGCTGGATACCTAATCGTCGCGCTAGTGTTTTATTACTTATTATCCAACGTTTAGTGCTACCAGGCACAACTGTACTAACGGCCCAATGGAGTAGTGACAGACAGCTATCACCTCTCCATTCTGTTATTCTTTTCGATAGCACTCAAACAGATTCCACTGGAAATTTTTGGGAGTCACGTAAAGAAGAGGATTAGAGCAGTAAATAAGTCACGAAACAGGATGATATACAGATATCTGGGTGACGTTATATATATAAACTGGTTAAGCCTATCGTTGACGACTCCAATGAGGAACTTGGGGATTTTATTGGAACAAATACAATACAATACAATAAAGTGTAGCTAATTTTTTAACATTACACTAGATTTTATTTAAAGGAATTTAAACTGCGCGTTTTTACCTTGCACTCATCTGATTGGTTAATAAAGATTTATCAGTGTCATTTTGACGGTCATTCATCTGGATCACTAAAGTTTACAGTTATCCTATAATTGTCTTTCTACACAACATCTTCAGTATATGCTTCAATACGCTTTTAAACGAAAGAGATTTGTAGCTTAGTGTATAGAATGTCGCCTCAAAATGAATTGGGAATGGAGTATAAGGAGATAAACTGCTACCATTTTTCAAAAGATTGATTACTGAAAAAAGAATATTCTTTCTGATAACGTGCTTTTCATCAGGCTCTACAGTTATATATCCATAATTATGAAAGAATTAGGGTTACTAACATCATTAATGTTTGGACAACATCGAATCAATAATAACAATAATATCAATGGATTACAGTCCGATAGCATCAACATAACAATACACAATGAAAATCAGGCAAGCAAATTAGGAAAGATAATAATACCAATTCATGAATTTATAGTCTCCACTGAAGGCTGACCAGGGCAGCAGTAGTGGCTAGCTGGACTTGCCTCTTATGCACACAGAACACTAGTCGTTTCACGCTAATCGCGATAGCCTTGGCTATTTGGAGTATTCGGCACTGGGATGCTTTTGACAATTTATTTGGTACCCGGTAGATGATCGAGGAGGATTCTTCAATGCTCGTCAGCTTTATGGCCGGTTTGGAGTAGATGGTTTAATATAATAATAATAATAGTATATTCTCATTTTGTACCTTTATTTAGCCACACTGTTAGATGCTCCCGAGAGAGCACGAAAGATCAAGTTCCTAGAGCAACGGCTTACATTTTTGTTTACATCTTGAGGAAATTTCAACGTGTGATATGTATTTTTATCAACTGAATCAACATTTTTGTCTTATAGAAGTGGCAGAAATTGAGGAAAAATAGTGATAAAATACATCACAGACTGATCCTAGGTTTTGAAAAATCTATATTTATTTTGTCGAATTAAATCCATTATACTCGGTGATGATAAATAGTTAAAATGAGTGTGGTTTTCATGCTACAGGTTATCGATAATAATAATAATGAAATTTTTATTCTGGACATAATTTTCATACAATAGGCAGCATTCTCAGCGTGATTTATGGTATTTAATATTTTCTCTTCATCCAGGATGCTCAAGTAAAACAGAAATCTACAATATATAAGTGTGATAGACCGCTGTTCGATCTCAAGAGTGAACTGATCCCACATGATAGCTTTCTTTTGTCTCCTAGAAATGCGCACCACTAGTTTGAAAGCCAGTCAGAAATGTGCTGGAGTAGATTTCGCGGCCCAAAAACATAACTGAATGTGGTTAAACCAATAAGAAATTGAGAAAATGTGGTATATTGTGTAGGATAGCATTTCATGCAACCCAGTGATTCAACCAGGTCATCAGAATGGAAATCTGATAGTGTTAAACTTAGACATCTAACTTGGTTGTGCATGTGTAAAACTAAACATTCTTAGGCCAAAGATGAAACACTGATGTTGATGAGTCTCCATACAGGCCCCCGTTGATGCTTCCAGTTATAATGCCCAGCTTCCTTTATTAAACTACTAGCTCGCTGGTTTTCTAGCTGGTCCCAAGGCCGGGAAAAGAGGCAGGGCTGGGAATGGAGCTAGCAACCACATCCTATAAGACCAAACTGCTACAGAAACCATAAGAAAAGTATGAAAAAAAACAAAATACATAGAAAACGAGCTCATTCTTCTCTGGAATCAGGAAGGCGAAATGACACAACGGGCTAGTAAAAGCCTTTGGGAAGACAGTCAACCAGCCAGCCGAAGTGTCTTCTTTCGATGAAAGCAAAAATAAGAATGGGGACGTGGAATGTCCGTGCAGTGTACGAGGCTAGGAAGGCTGTCCAAGTAGCCAAAGAAACTAGAAGATACAGCATAGAAGTGCTGGGAATCCGCTACAGCGAATGTGGATTGTCAAAATTGTCAAATGGTGAGTCAGTAATCTACTTTGTTCAGGTCACCCAGATGACAACTATGAGCAAACTGAGGCAGTGAGTGGCTATAATGATGTCACCAGTAGCAGCCAAAGCTCTAATGCAGTGGAAACCAATTTCCTCATCCATTATCATGATAGCAAGATTCAACACAAAGGGATGGAAGGTCACTATTATCCAATCCTACACAAAATGCTACAAACAACGCGAAACAAGAGAAGAAGGAAGATTTCCATAGACAACTACAAAGAGTAAAGCACAGCATACCAAATGGAAACATCAAAATCCTCGTGGAAGATATGAATATCAGCTGACTAGGGGTAGACAACACCATAAGAAGATAACTCATCATGGGTCCAGAGGCTCTCGGAGAAATGAATGAGAATGGAGAGTTATTCGCTGACTTCTGTGTCTTCAATGATTTGGTAGTTGGACGTAGCATGTAGAAACACAAGGATTTACACAGAGCAACATGGATTTCGCCTGGCTCCACACACAATAAACCAGATAGATTTCATCTCGCTGTTGCTCAGGGAAGTGACGAAGCAGCCTGCTGGACACATATTCGAGTAGGAGAGCAGATGTGGGCTCATCTAGTTAAACGAACCTTCAAGGTGAAGCCGAAATCCTTCAGAACAATTGGAAACAGATCACAACTCAAGTTCAACATTCAGAAACTGAAGGAAAAAACTACAAGAGACGCCCTCAATACAGATAACAGAGCAAAGTCGGAGACACTATGTGGCATTATTGAGGAAAACAGGATGGAAGAACATTAGAACTCTATGAAGGTGTTGTTTAAGGAAACGTATATAACTGTTCTCGGAAGAAAGAAGAGACAAGACAAGGAATGGCTCTCGACAGACACCTGGAAGCCAAAAGGAAAAGAAGAGGATGATGAAAGAGGAGATGACTCAATGCAAAGATGGACAACAGAAGGAGAAGCTGAGTTCAATGTACGCTGCAGTGAATAAAGCAGTAAAGAATCGTGCTAGGAAAAACAAAAGACAATTTTACCACACACTGACTGGCAACTGAAGCAAAACAGGCAGCCGCAGGCAAAAGAAACCTCAGGACATTATTTCAGATAACGATGTCTCTATCGGGAAAAAGATCAACCCAGATGCGCGAGGAAACCGGATTACAAACAAACAAAACAATAGGTTGATCACTTTGTAGGACTCTTGAATCGTCCATTACCTGCAACCCACTCAGAAATATCACCAACAGCATGCACAGAACTGCCTGCCAGTGGATACCAATCCTCCAACGAAGGCAGGGATCCTAAATCAGATGAAGCTACTGAAGGCTAGGAAGTCAGCAGGCCCAGATGGAACTCCCCACTCCAAAGCCCTGAAAACGGACCCAGAGACTGAAGGAGATGGGTATACGCCATTATTGCAAAAGGTTTGGAAAGAAAGAAAGGTGCCTACCGACTGGAAGAAAGGCTGGCCACTCTGTCAGGCTGCCAAAGAAGGGCTACTTACGACTGCAAGAAGTGGCGTGGAATAGTGCCATTATCCACGCCAAGTTAAATACTATGTCGCTGAAGAAAATGGAGATGGATTGGGCATACACTAGGGAGACCGTCGAATGAAATTGTGCGCCAGGCTCTAGAGAGAAATCCCAATGGGAAGAGAGTAGTGGGTGGTCAGTATGAGGGTGACATGGAGGAGATCGTGTTCGGAGGAGATGAGAGATTATGGGCAATCTCGGGGTCAGCTAGTTGAAGAGGACAGCAGAAGAAGAGATGTGTTATTGAAGCGTATGTCCCACTCGGAGCCCAAGAGAATGATAATAATCATATACTAAATAGTTAAGTCTATGTTATTTGTATCGCCAGTATTACCCGTTATTTGTAGTTGAGAATGGATAATCATTCTTCTGAGTAAAACATATTAAATATTTAGGCTTCTTTTCCTATTAATTTGGAATCGAATAGCTCTTTTGTAAAAAATAACATTTTTATAGAAATCAATCAAGCTATTTACAATTGACAAGTAGTATATTCAAATAAATAAAGAATATTAAGTTTATGATCTGTAGGATAGATGATGGCTTTAACAACACCTTTATTTAGGAACACTCGTTGGTGTTCGCGAGCACGAAGAATTAGATTCTGTCTGTCTGGATCCAACATAGAACTTGGCACCGAAGTGCAGCAGTTCCAGTTGCCACGTTCCAAATAGCACACAAAGGTAGACAAGAAAATGAGAGAAGAGAATCAATAGAATTTAGATAAGTATAAGAGTGAAACAGAATGAGTAGTGGTAGAAAGGAATATGAAGGTTAAAGAGACTGAATACATCTGCGTAAGCCATTGACAACGATTTTGAGCCATGTCACCTATTGTCTCCAGCCATTGATTCTTAGAGTCCCGAGGGCCGGCCCCTAACCCGGAAGTCTTCATCTCCCTACCTGACTCAGCTTAACTGTCAAGGATTTCATGGATTGATGCCATGTTTTTGTTTGGCCACCACTTACTCTTTTCCAACCTGCACCTATATCAACTAGTAATGCTCGTCGGGGGAGGCATGCGCAGCACGTGACCCAGCCATCTCAATCTATGCAACTTTATCGCCTCGTCAATTGATTTTCCCTCTTTGCCCAACAGTCTACGCTTAACCTAACGTCAACATTACTTACCTTATTATACAACCTAACGTGAGAAAGAGATCGTAGACATCTATGATCAAAACGACAACCTTTTCATGTCTTCGACTAGTTTTGGCCATGTTTTAGAGCCATAGAGAAGGACGGAGCGAACTGCTGAGCCGGATGTCACGTCTACGCCAGAGATGGTTTAAGTTAGCGAAAGCAGCTCGAGCTTTTTGGATCCGTGCTGAGATTTCGTTGCCAATCAGTCCGTTGTTGCTGGTACAACTTCCCAAATAGGTGAAGTGGTCAACACGTTCTATCACTTCACTCCCTATCACTAAGCTAGAGGTTGGCGTAGTTCAGTCCTGTAGCAGCATTTTACATTTCACAGGGGCGAATCGCATGCCAGACATACGAAGATTGCTGCTCAAGGTGTTCAGAAGACTCTGAATTTTTTCAGCATCCTCCCCTAACAGGACAATGTCATCTGCATATTCTAAGTCCATAAGACTATTCCCTGGTAACAAGTCGATTCCTAAGTCGTTAAGTTCAGTTAAGGATATTTCCATTTGCATATCTATGATGATTCATAGAGGAACGATTAGTATAACTGGCTCCACGGGAGCCAGGAAAATCCATTTTACTCCCAGTAATTTCGTTGCATACCTCCTTTTCATTTTTTCCTCCTTTAATTTCTACAGGTGTCTATCTTACAGTTACCATGACAATGACATCGTTGTCTATTATATTAACAGTTCTCGTCCTACACCTTCATCATACTGGTTCAAATCGACAAGCTGTGCCTAAATTTATTAGAATATTATTTTTCAATTATATTGCTAGAATACTTTGTTCAGATGTTGTACGTAGATATCAAGCGAGACGAGAAAAGTGTGTGATAAAGCGCACTAACCTATTAAGACAAATGTCATTGAATAAAAAAAGACATACAAACTCTATCAGTAATGATGACAAAGCTTCTATGAATTATCATGAAAAATTAATCAACACAAAACCAACAATCTGCAATTCATCAAATTTAAACAAACCCCTCCAGTATAATTATTTACCATCAGATGTGATCAGTTCAACTATTGTTCTCAATGAAAAGAAACAAATGTCAGCCTGTAAATATGCAACAAACTCTTCAAATACTACGGCTGCAACTACTACTGAACAACAAGTTGATAAACGTTATAAAACAATTGAACCACTGAACACATTAAGTTCGCCTAATTTAAATACAGTCAACACAATATCAAGAGAAGAAATAATAATCAAAAGGCCTAAACTAATCAATACCTTTCGAATAATTAACGATTTAAACAAAGATAACAACCTTGACAAGGAAAGTCAAAGTCACAAAACGCAAACTTCATTTAAACAAAATAAAATCTCTAGTGATCATAGAACAATTTATGCTAAATCAAGTAATGATTTAAACAATAACGATAATAATAATGATGATGATGATAATGGTGATAACGATGGGGATTATGTAACAACATTGAACCCATTGAATAGGCGTACTACATATTCACCTCGTCAAATCAATGAAAATAAAGAACAAATAAAAGTATTAAAAAAATTAACAGAAATTTTACAAAGAGCAGAAAAACAACAAGAGATTATACAAATTTATTTACATAATTTGTATGAAAAACAATCTGAAGAAGAGTATATTTCAGATATTATAAATGAATGGCGTATATTAGCACTGATAGTAGATCGTATGTTATTTTGGTTATTTCTGACGGTAGCCTCAATAGCCACAATTGTAATTCTATTAATTATGCCTTTGTTTAAGCCGAATTTTGCGTAAGTGTGTGTATTGTGGAAGTGAATACATGCCAGTATACTTGTGAATTTTTAAGATTTTAAACCATCCTCCCATTTCTTCTCTTATTCTTCCCTTGTTTTATAAGAGAACAAAATCGCTCTTCCTCTTGTATAGATTTATTCTGCTCACTGGTGTGCTCAAATAGTTGTATAGAAATGTGTGATTAGTAGATTTTAGAGAATAGTGACCAGTTACAGTAATTCAGCAGCGACACACACTTCAGTGCATGAATTATAAGTGTGTATGTATTGCTGATTATATAGATGTAATCTATATCCGGGGCTTCCTTATGACTTCCTCATTCTATGGAGACAAAATACGTACATGAATACTTTTTGAATCAAATATTAATTCTTTGTATATTATGCATTTTGTATTCAAATACTTTGAAAATATCATGTTCATATGTACATATTCTTCTTTCGGTAGATTATTTTTAAATCAGAAGTAAATTAGAATGAGAACAAAAATTCTTTGATTAAATGAGTTTTTTGTATTTCCTAATATTCATTCAAACATAGGAACTAGTGGACTGGGGCATTCTACCGATATATTTGTGGGCTCTTCTTTAATTTTTGATTTATTCCTTTGTGTTCTGAGTTGAAAATAGGGCTTTAAAGGGGCGACCTGCTTAAATCACTGGACTAGCGAAATCGCTTTCCACCAAAATGCTTAATTCCATCTGCATTTATCATTGCTTTAATCGTCCAGTTATGTCGAATGACTTATTCATGAGCTTCCACGCTGATTTAACTTACTTCCAAATACTATTATTATTATTGTTTCCTTTAATTCCTAGAGGAACATAGGGCTTCAGCCGTGCCTCTCCATTGCGTTCGGTTCTCTGCTACAGTCTTCACCTGGCTCCAAGTCTGCCCACACGTTTTCATCTCCTCTTCACATGACCTCCTCCAAGTCACCCTTGCACTGACGACCAACTCGCCGCTTCCCGTTCGGGTTCCACTAGAGCGATGGCTTGTCTAGTGATGTCACTTGATGGTTTTCTCAGAGTATGGCCAATCAAATCCATCTCCATTTCTTCCTGCCTATTTGTTTCAGAATCGCTTCCTGGCTGGTTCGCTCTCTGGTTCTGATCTTTTCTGGCCATCTGATCTTGAGTATTGAGCGAAGACAACTGTACATGGATGTCTGTAGTTTGTTTGAGATGCTCTTTATGACGCGCAGTGCAAGTCTCTGATCAGTATAGTAGCACTGACTGACTACACATTGGAGTTGAAAATCCGGATCTTATTTTCATTTTCATGCTGAGTGCTGTTGACCTCCACACAGACTTGAGAGTAGTGAAAGCTTGTCTTGCTTTCCCGATTCTTGCTCTGATATCCTCGTCAGTTCCGTCTGCCTGTAGTTGAAACGATGCTTCTCAGGTGGGTGGGTAAAGGAGGTTGTTTCTTTCAGGTTCCTTCCATTTATGCTGATTGTTGTCTGTTGTTGTTGTTCTTGTGCAGGAATTTTCATTACCTCTGTTTTCTCTATGTTCACCTGAAGTCCCATCTTTGATGCTTCTTCTGCCAACTTGTTGCTTTTTGCTTGCATATCTTCCAGTTTGTGGGAAATCAGACATATATCATCGGCGAAGTCCAGATCATCCAAGTTTTTTATGTGAGTCCATTTTATGCCTGTTTCCTCATTGCCCGCTGTTTGTCACATTATCCAGTCTACTGCAATCAGGAAAATCATTGGCGATAGTAGGCAGCCTTGTATTACTCCTGTCCTCTTCCAAATAAACGCTGTGCGATTCTTCAACGAAATGGAGACATACTTAGGATTATTACTTTACAAGTAAATCATGTATGAAGAAAAAAGTATTTTGGAAGTGAATACGCTGAAAATGTTTGTAGCATATATTTCCATATTGTCTGCAATAAAGCTTTATTATTGTTATTATTAAAGCTTGAACTTAGACGTTTCAGTAGCAGTGGCATTGTTTTTCCCGGGAGAGGCCGCTAGCCTTACGCAAGTTCAATCTTCCCCCTATACCAAACTTACTACTGGCTAAGCGTCAGCTGGGAATCGAACCTAGAACAACGGGAAACGTGGTTGGCGAGTATTCTATCACTTAACTACCTATGCAATATTTGTGAGTAGTACTCAGATATGCATATATTATGGCTTCTGTTATCGGATATACTTATGATATATGCTGTTGCTTGTAGGTCTTGATTAAATATAAAGACATATCAGATGCAGAGATATAAGTTTAAAAAGCCGACTTCGCCCACAAAACTCAGTCACATAGAAGAGTACATGAAATTCGAATAGCTAAGGATGAAATCTATGCCTTTATAACGTGAAGCTCATTGGGCCGCCCAATATAATATAGTTCTCCTTAAGAATGCAGATATGCCTCTATCTTCAAAGTAACAACACTCAGAGGAATCCAAGGCACTCATTTTGTCCCACTTGGACTCAACACCTGGATATACCTGCATCTGAAGTGATTGATGGTGTCCACACTGGGACTCAAACCCTGTACCCGTCATTTCAAACAAGAAAGCATTATCCACTAGGCTACAAAGATCATTTTTTGGGTGTTTAATTTGAATGGTTGTCTATCCTCAGCTGCTTTGAAAGCGTTTGATTTGACTGTGAAGGTCTCTTTCACCAGATAATGGTCTGAGTTCGTGTTTGCTAATCATCTTAATCTTGTTTCAAGCAGATTGTATCTCCGCTTTCTTGAGATTGAATGAAGTCCATCTGATTTCTGGTGTGTCCATCTGGCGAAGCTCATGTCGCCTTGTGTATGTTGTTGCGTTTGTTTATGCTGCCTCTAATCACCGAATCATTTAAGGTCCTGCGCTCTTATTCATTTCACCAATTGCCTTTTGACCCAAGATATGTCCTCTTCCTGTGCTTTTTTCTTGTTTGACATCCATGTCAACCGCCACGATTTTGACGTCACCATTTCAGGTGTTGTCCGTTACTGTTTGCAGTTGTCAATAGAAATCTTCCTTCTTCTCTTGTTCTGAGTTATTTGTAGATGCATAACATTCAATAATTGTAACTTTCCTACTTTTTGAGTTGAATCTGGTTGACATTATTCTGCAGTAAGTTGGTTCACACCACGCATGTTTCATTTCCATCACTTTGTGTTTTTCTGCATCAAAATCTCCCCAACTTATGGAGTTCCATAGAAATAGATGCATTTATTAAATCTCAACAAGATTTTTACATAAAAATCATTGCCGTTTCTACATTAAACCGGGAATTCATCTAATGATTGAAAAGTGATTGCGAGAACACTTGATGGGAAGTGCTCGAAATACACCTCTGTGTCATAGATAGATTTAAAATTTATCTCATATGATTTCACTTGTTACATTTTCACATTTCTCCATTCTTCATTGGCCGAATGTTTCTTGTCTCTCCTACAACATTTGGTTGTATTACTTTCATTTTCTTATGCTTTAGTGTATAGGCAGGAGACACTGCAAGCTGAACTATTACGTAATAGTGCCCAGCTTTATTTTGACAGTTACCATCAGCCCATTATGAAAGTTTTGTTTTGAAACATCAGGGTATTCTCATTATTCTCAGAGTCTTCAGGACTCCAGCCAGATAAGCTTCACGCCCCTACATGACTCAAATCTACGGTCAAAGGCTTCATGGACTGATGTCATTCTTTATTTGGATGATCTGTAACTCTTTTCCAACTTAATTGTATGTCGGCTAATATTGTTTGCATTTATCCCATGTATCCTAGCCAACTCTGTCATAGAGGCTTCTGAGTATTATCAACCGACTTTCACTGCTTACTTAACATTCCACACCACTTAGCGCGACAGAGAGGGTGCCAACAGTTATGGTCAAATAATGCTATTCTCTTCAAATCTCCCAATTCCAGTAGCCGTTTCTAACAGCTATAAAGAAGGACAAATTGAATAATCAGATAAAACAAATCCCGAGTAAGTACAATACATGCCCACAGCAAACACTAAGTTGCTTCGCAATCAGCATACAAGTAATGATGTATCATTGTTGCTTTTATCAAGTAGAATATGTCTTGTCTACTCATATGCCTTTCTTACTTCCGGATCTTTTAGCACACAGTATCTTTATTAATTTAGTTTATAGAAGTTTGACAGAACTTCAGATGAAGACGAAGAAGACAGAAGTGATGAATTTCCTATAGCTGGTTTGTAAGGATTAGTTTTTGTTTTTACCAGTTGATCACGGATTGACATCAGTTAGAGAACCACTGAAAACCAGAGTGCTGGACAACTGTTTCATCCTAGTCTCTTGGGAATCATCGGCAGTACGAACACACCACGGGGGCTTCGAACCCATGACATACCGGTTACAAGGCAAGCTTGTATACCATCCGGCCACTGGGACCAAATTCAATGGTCAGTGCATGAATTCTAACTTCTACCAATTCGTGATTTTGCAGGACCCCAACCAATGTCGTCGGTGGGACATCCATCTTCACGCTTGACTGGATGAACCTCACTGGTCACTGCTTCTCACTAGAACTACAGGAAACTCCGTCCTGTAACAAGTCACTAGTGAGCATCAGATTAATTTTCTATAGTTGGTTTGTAGGAATTAGTTTTTGTTTTTACAACTTGCCTTGTAACCGGAAGGTCCTGCGTTCGAAACCCTGCGGGTGCGTACTGCCGATGATTCCTAAACTAGGATGAAATGAACCAGTACTCCCTGGTTTTCAATGGTTCTCTAATTGACATCAATCCATGATCAACTCGTAAGAAGTGATGAAGTTGCCGGACCAAAAGCAACCAATGATTATGAACGAGAGATATTTTAAAGACGTCATCACTCCCACTTATCTAGGTAACGTCATTTCAGTAGCAGACAGAATAGATGAGAAAAGCAAAGCCAGAAAGGGTTGGAAAGGCAAGACGTGTAATAATTAATCTACAATCGGTGGGGAATTCTCCGGCAATCGGCATAAGGGACAACATCCTGATTTTCAACACTCATGTCCAGTAAGCACTTCATGGTTCAGCGACTTAGTACAAGCGTCAACAAAAGAATTTCCAGCAGGTTACAGGCTTTTATTAACATTCGCCTCCGCTCCATGCTAAAGATCAGAATGCTGACAAGGAAGGATAAGCAACAAGAAAGTGTAGAAACGGAACAATCAGGAAGTTATCGCCCAACAGATTTGTAGAATAGCGCTAGGACGACAAATGTACCAGGATAACTTGAGCTCATGTTTTTATTTTTATTACTTTATGGATTCATCTTATCTTGTCACAACTTGAACAATAACAAAATTATAAATTAAATTACAGATCTGAATATACTTCCTTTCTGCAATGTCAGAGAGTAATTGATTGGAACTGAGAGTAACATTGGTCAGAAATCATGTAAGTTGTTAAATAATTAAGAATGAAAAGGATCAACTTCTTGTGGAAGAATTGCACGACCAAGTTTTTAAACAAAAGTACAAACAGTGTTCAACAGATGTTTTATGAGTAGAAATAAACTTTAGCTAGAAACA